TTTCGAGCCCCCCCTCCCCCTCCTTCCTTCCCTATTAGTTTATATGTTTTCCATGTCATTCACTTTGCCATTCTCCTAAATGCCAAACCCCCTAACAACCCCCCCTCTGCCCTCTGACTAATGTTTTTTATAACTCCCCCCTTTCCTCCTAATTTCCACACCTAAATTTTTTTCTGATAATTTTTAACCCCCACATTGCCCTTAACAGGACATCTCCCGCCCCCAAACCGTCTCCTCCGCGGGCATTTACCCCCAAAGCTTCACATCCGTATAAGGGTTGGTACTACATTCTTTCATAATTCCCTTCTTTGCCTCCATAGAAAGTTTTTTTGACTCCACATATCCTCAACGCACCACTCACTTTTTTCCTCATCAATTCTATGTTAAAACCCCACCTTTTAAATCCAATCCGCTGACACTCAACCCCAAGTATCTGAAAAATTCCTTTTCCATACCCTCCCCCCAATTTGATATCCAATTTTTTCTTTATCTAAATATTTGATACCCTCATCACCCTTTTTTTTTCTATGTTCATTCAAAATTTCTACCTTTACACACATTTCAAATCATCCACAACCTTTGCAAATTTTTTTTTAGAACTCCCCTAAGCACTATCACAGCAAAAAGTAACTGTGTCAATTCCCATTTTTAATTTTATTCCCCATAATTTTAAACCCCCCCCCCTTACCGAACACCCCAGCATTTACTTCTTTTCAACCCCATCTATAAATATATTTAAAAAACCATGGTGACATTACACATCCCTGTCTAAGACCTCTTTTTCCCCGGGGAAATATTCTCCCTCTCTTCTCACACCCTAACCTGAGCCCACTATCCTCATAAAAGCTCTTTACAGCATTTTGTAACTTACCCCCTATTCCATTTACTTGCAACATCCGCCACATTGCTCCTTATCCACTCTATCATATGCCTTTTCTAAATCCTTTAAATGCAATAAAAACTTCCCTACCTTTATCTAAATACTGTTCAATATATGCTTCAATGTAAACACTTGATCTACACATCCCCTACCCACTCTGAAGCCTCCCTGCTCATCCGCAATCCTACATTCTGTTTTAAACCTCTAATTCTTTCAATTATAACCCTACCGTATACTTTTCCTGGTTACTCAGTAAACTTTTTCCCTCTATAATTTTTACAATCTCTTTTGCCCCCTTTTCCCCTTTATATAAAGGGACTATACATCCCTCTCTGCCAATCCCTAGGTCCCTTTTCCCCTCTTTCATACATTTATTAAACAAAAGTACCAACCACTCCAACACTATATCCCCCCTGCTTTTAACATTTTGTCATGATCCCATCAGTTCCAGCTGCTTTACCCCCTTTCATTCTACGTAATGCCTCCCCGTACCTCCACCACACTTACATTCTGCTCTTCTTCACTCCTAAAAGATGGTATACCTCCCTGGCCATGCTGAAAATTACCGCCTCCCTTTCTTCCTCAACATTTAAAAGTTCCTAAAAATATTCTCGCCATCTACCTAATACCTCCCTTTCCCCATCTACTAATTCCCCTACTCTGTTTTTAACTGCCAATCCATACTTTCCTAGGCTTTCTTAACTTGTTTAACTCACTCCAAATTTTTTTTTTTATTTTTTATTAAAATTTCTTGACAGTGCCTCTCCCACTCTATCATCTGCTCTCCTTTTGCACTCTCTCACCACTCCTTCACCTTTCTTTTACTCTCCATATACTCTGCTCTTCTTAAACACTTCTGCTTTGTAAAAAACCTCCTCATAAGCTACCTTTTTCCCTTTTTTCACAAACCCTTTACTTCATCATTCCACCAAAACATCCTCTTTCCTCCTGCCCCCACCCTCCTATAACCACAAACTTTCCCCACATTTTAATACTGCATTTTTAAAACTATTCCAACCCTCTTCAACCCCCCCACTACTCATCTTTGCACTAGCCCACCTTTCTGCCAATAGTCGCTTATACCTCACCCGAAACTTCCCCTCCCTTAGTTTATACACTTTCACCTCCCTCTTACTTGTTGTTGCCACCTTCCTCTTTTCCCATCTACCTCTTACTCTAACTGTAGCTACAACTAAATAATGATCCGATATATCAGTTGCCCCTCTATAAACATGTACATCCTGGAGCCTACCCATCAACCTTTTATCCACCAAATACATAATCTAACAAACTACTTTCATTACTTGCTACATCATACCTTGTATATTTATTTATCCTCTTTTTCATAAAATATGTATTACTTATTACCAAATTTCTTTCTACACATAGCTCAATTAAAGGCTCCCCATTTACATTTACCCCTGGCACCCCAAATTTACCTACTACTCCCTCCATAACATTTTTACCCACTTTAGCATTGAAATCCTCAACCACCATTACTCTCACACTTGATTCAAAACTCCCCACGCATTCACTCAACATTTCCCAGAATCCCTCTCTCTCCTCTACACAAGCTTATCCTCTATAAAAACCATACCACAGGCAAGGATAGAACCCGTGATCAGAGAGTCATAAAACTCCAAACCGACAAGCTAGCCACTGGACGAATCTTGCTGTAGCCAGCTGGCCCAGTGGCTAGCGCGTCGGTCTGGAGTTTTATGACTCTAATTGTGAGTTCTATCCTCGCCCATGGTATAGTTTGTTTGCAATCGTGCCATTACGATTTCTTGAGTTATCCCCTACAAGTCATAGTTTCTCTCGTCCCCTTATACAAGGGAAACTTTGCCAAATTTTTTCTACCTCTTCTTTCATACAGACTGAACAAACACACCAACCACTTCAACACTACACCACTTGCTTTTAACATATCTACCTTAGTCCCATTCACTTGTCCACTCGTTCTACCCACTGCCTCATGCATTTGCCCCACCTCAGGCTCCTCCTTACTCCTATACAGTGCTAGCCCTCCCTGCCCAGTGCATGTAATCAGTCTTCCATTCATTAATATATCAAAATATCCTCCCAAATTTATTAATATTGTTAGATTCATGGGGTAAGTGTTTAAATCCATAAAGTGGTCATACACTGCATGGGAAGTGGATGATAGCTCCAATTCTTTGGATCCAAGAGGAAAATGAAAACAAGAAAAATTACCAGGAAAATACGAATATTACTTAAAATAATACTGCATGAACAAGAGGATGGAGAAGAAAATTAAAAATTTTTGGGGGAATATGAATGGAATTATTAAATTAACTGATGAATCTGCACTGATTATAACATCAACTGGATATGGAATGTAATCACATAAGATTCAGTGAAGGAGAGAGATCTTCAATTCCTTGGATCAACCACTCATCACTGGCATCAAAGCAGCCCCCCCCCCTTGAATGTGGTTATTAAGCAGTACTACAATGGCTATGGGCACACCAGAAAACCATCACCAGTAACAAAGGATCCTTGTAAAGCAACATTTTTCCCAAGGTTTGGCATTATCAAGTACACAGGAATGAGCAAATACACACAAGGTGTGACCTTCTCCTGTAATGACCTCGTGTGTGACATATTTCTCCATGCCTGACCTCATGTTGCTTGTTTGCTTTATAAGACAGTGTATTTGGTCATACCCGCCTACTTGATGAAGCCCAAACCTAAGCAAAACATTGTATTAACAGGATCATCTGTTACCTGGAGTATTCCTGGAGGGGGTTTTGGGGGGTCAATACCCCAGTCCATGACCAGGCCTCATCCAGTGTCTTTATTTCTCCTTGTCACCTTTTGACATTATCTACCAAACCATTATCAGATTAAATATTTCTCTCCTCATAACTACTAATCTGCTTTTAGTTAAACTGTACTTAATACACTTCTTTGATACTTTTTAATTAGCTTAATATCTTTATTATCTAGGTAGTAGGTTGGCAGACAGCAACCACCCAGGGAGGTACTACCGTCCTGCCAAGTGAGTGTAAAACGAAAGCCTGTAATTGTTTTACATGATGGTAGGATTGCTGGTGTCCTTTTTTTCTGTCTCATAAACATGCAAGATTTCAGGTACGTCTTGCTACTTCTACTTACACTTAGGTCACACTACACATGCATGTACAAGCATATATATGTATATATACACATCCCTCTGGGTTTTCTTCTATTTTCTTTCTAGTTCTTGTTGTTGTTTATTTCCTCTTATCTCCATGGGGAAGTGGAACAGAATTCTTCCTCCGTAAGCCATGCGTGTTGTAAGAGGCGACTAAAATGCCAGGAGCAAGGGGCTAGTAACCCCTTCTCCCGTATAAATTACTAAATTTAAAAAGAGAAACTTTCGTTTTTCTTTTTGGGCCACCCTGCCTTGGTGGGATACGGCCGGTTTGTTGAAAAAAAAAAAAAATCTTTATTATGCAGCCCAGACCCATCCTGTGGGTGGTAGTCAAATCATTACAGAGGTACATAATGGGTCCAGGGACTGGGCCCCAAAGTTATGATAACTGAACAAGTTACAAAGGTAATAAACTCCAGGTAGATCTGCTCACACCTAGGTAGTAGGTTGGTAGACAGCAACCGCCCAGGGAGGTACTACCGTCCTGCCAAGTGAGTGTAACACGAAAGCCTGTAATTGTTTTACATGATGGTAGGATTGCTGGTGTCCTTTTTTCTGTCTCATGAACATGCAAAATTTCAGGTACGTCTTGCTACTTCTACTTACACTCAGGTCACACTACACATACATGTACAAGCGTATATATACATACCCCTCTGGGTTTTCTTCGATTTTCTTTCTAGTTCTTGTTCTTGTTTATTTCCTCTTATCTCCATGGGGAAGTGGAACAGAATTCTTCCTCCGTAAGCCATGCGTGTTGTAAGAGGCGACTAAAATGCCGGGAGCAAGGGGCTAGTAACCCCTTCTCCTGTATATATTACTAAATTTGAAAGGAGAAACTTTGGTTTTTTCTTTTGGGCCACCCTGCCTCGGTGGGATACGGCCGGTGTGTTGAAAGAAAGAAGAAAGATCTGCTCACAATCATGACCAAGTTACATAGGTAATGAACTCCTTGATACTTACACACCCAAAGATTACTTGCAAATTCAACATTGTGCTCCTTAACAGCCAACTCTTTAGCTTCTTCTAAGGTCTCTCTAGCTGCCACCGATCCTTTTTTATGAACAAATTTCAGCTGATTGATGGCATCATCAATCCTAAGCCCACGCACCAAACAAGCCACGTACCACATTTTTGAGGGACTATATTTGATATTTTTCTTCATATGGCAAACAAACTGAAATAAAAACACTTGATTTATAATACAGTACAAGTTCAAACATACAAATAACCCTGAAGCAACAACACTAAAACACTGATTTTTAATACAAATTCAAACATGTAGATAACCTTGAAGCAACAGAATAAAAATACACAATTCTCTGAAAGTGTCTAGTACTGATGAGCACAATGACTATACTGCATATAGTTCCCGCCCCCTTAAGTGTAGTGCGTTGATGTTGGTGGTCTCTTAATCCAAGGACTTTGCATTATCCTTTCCTTGGATCAAGCCTGATTACCTCCCAAGTGCCACACGACAGGCGCGGATTTGGTACTTCCCTATAAATAAAATAAGAAATGGCATAATACATATTTCTAAAGGCCATTTGTTACTCACTGCTGGTCTTGGTTGTTCTCCAAATGGTGTTGGTGGAAACACAGTCTGGTTGTGTGTTAGAAATTTCCTTGGCCCAGTTGGCCTCTCCCAGCATAAGGCAGATGAAGTGTGCAGGCCACATCTCTGCAATGAATATATATTTGTTAAGACAGTGATAGTGTGAATGATGGTGAAACTGTTTCTTTTTTGGGTCATCTTGCCTAAGTGGGAGACTGTCAGCATGTTAATAGTTTTTTAATGTACAGATTTTTTTTAAGAAACACACCAGAAATAAAGTTAAATGTATAAAAAATCATAAAAGTTTGTAATGTTTACCTGGCATCTTACATACTCATGAGACCAAAAAAGAAATAAGCAGCAATCCTGACAGTATGAAACATTTAACAAGCTTCATCACAAATATGCACCAAGTGGTGGAACTGTGATATGAGGTGATTTGGTATTCTAAAAAGTACTATGTTTACATCACATATGCATATGAACTGTGATATCAGCAGCCTTCTGGCAACACAGTGATTGAATGATGGTGAATATGTTTCTTTTATTTTGGTTATTTCACCTTGGTGTTGGGCAGCTGTTGTATTACAAAAATGAGTACAGGCAACAAAAGCATTATTAAAACAATTCAAAACCCAAAATCTGCAGAGGAAGCTCTCGAAGATTCTTTGGCACATCCTGACAGTATAGACCAGAACTGACCAAATTTCCTCATCAAACTTGGAGTTGTGAAAGTATAAATTATGGATTTCTATCGTGACCTAAGCACAGAGGCACTGATAAAACAGCACACAAGAATTTACCGAGCATCAAAGTTTATGCCTTGTCACCTTCACAACGTAGAGGGTACAGCCATGAATTTATTGTATAGTGTACGTGACATTACACAACACTTAGCCAACCATCAGAGGTGGTCTTATCAACCATCAGCCGTATCAACCTTACAAGTTTCTGTGCTGCTACCACACATCACACATGTTAACTTTGTTTGCTTAGGTGAACAACAGTTGAGTGTTCCTACTAAACAACAGTTAACAGTGTTCCTGATGTACAACAGTTGACAGTGCAATGATGAACAACAGCTGACAGTGTTCCCATTGAACAACAGTTAAGTGTTCCTACCTGTGAGTGGTTTGTAAAAGCAAACAATGGTCAGTTTTGCTTTTCCTATCATGCACCACATGGGGCACAATTTTTTTTTTTTTATACTGTGCACACTTGTTACAGACATCTACTCTCTCATATCTAGGCCAAAATTTACCACTAAACGCTTAACTGAGTGAGCTGAGCTCATGACATTGAACTATGTGAGGGACCCTGACCTTAATGACGTAAGTAGTTCTACGTGATCACCAGTGAAAGGTTTAAAGCAAGCTGTGGCTGGTTTAATGGGTTTAAGGCAAGATCAAATCTGTATAATGTTACAAGTACGTTGTGAAGCCACTAGTGCCAGAGTAAAAAAAAAAAAAGCAGATGCAGTTGTGAAAATGCTTGCTAACATTATTTACAATGGTATTTACAATGAACATCAAATATTAATATAGCAGATGAAAGGAAGCAAAGAGTTAAATTCCCATTCTGCTTTAAATATGCCCATCACTTGGCAACAGGCTTTTTTTTTTTCATTTATTGCAAACCAATGCACAGTGGCATGTACATTCATGACTTTTCTTACCATGCTTCTTCTATCATGAAAAGTGTTGTTATTTCTCTCTCTCTCTTTGTGCCCTTCACATCTGTGACCCTCAATTTCTTGACTTTGCAATTCATTCTCTTGCCTTAGCTACCCATCTGATTTCATAAACTCTTACCTCTCACATGCTAAAAGGACTTCCTCTCCAAACCTCTCTACTCCTGTGAAATCTCCTGTTCTTTGCCTTCCCTATTTACCTGGAGTTTACCTGGAGAGAGTTCCGGGGGTCAACGCCCCTGCGGCCTGGTCTGTGACCAGGCCTCCTAGTGGATCAGAGCCTGATCAACCAGGCTGTTACTGCTGGCTGCATGCAATCCAATGTACGAGCCATAGCCCGGCTGGTCAGGTACCGACTTTAGGTGCTTGTCCAGTGCCAGCTTGAAGACTGCCAGGGGTCTATTGGTAATCCCCCTTATGTATGCTGGGAGGCAGTTGAACAGTCTCAGGCCCCTGACACTTATTGTATTGTCTCTTAACGTGCTAGTGACACCCCTGCTTTTCATTGGGGGGATGCTGCATCATCTGCCAAGTCTTTTGCTTTCGTTGTAAGTGATTTTCGTGTGCAAGTTCGGTACTAGTCCCTCTAGGATTTTCCAGGTGTATATAATCACGTATTTCTCCTGCCTGCGTTCCAGGGAATACAGGTTCAGGAACTTCAAGCGCTCCCAGTAATTGAGGTGTTTTATCTCCGTTATGCGTGCTGTGAAGGTTCTCTGTACATTTTCTAGGTCAGCAATTTCACCTGCCTTAAAAGGTGCTGTTAGTGCGCAGCAATATTCAGTAATATTCAACACCCTCCATTCCTTAAACATCAGACTTAGTTTTTTGCCAAACTAACACCCTTCATGGTAATCTAGTTAGTACCTCTCCTGCAACTGATGTTTCTGGAGTCTACTCCATTTCCTGCTCCTCATGTCCTCTCCAATACTCAGAGAAACTGGCCACTCTCTAACAGACTTAAAGAACACAAAAGAAAAAAAAGTCAGATTTGACAATACTAATAATGCACTTTTCTGTCATGTTAGAGATCACAGTCATCCTATTAACTGATCCTCTGCTAAAACTGTCCATCCTACTTCTAGCCTTTACAGTTGTCATCTTGTTAAAGCATCTCGTATACACAACTTTCTTTGTATGAATCATAGTCATGGCTTTGTCTCAGCATATGCCTTCCTTTCTCATCACACTGTCAAATGCTCTAAACTTCAGAACACTCATAACCTGGCCTGATCCATTCTCCTCCTCCTCCCTCTACCTTTTCTCCTTTCATATTTTTTTCCTTTTTTTTCGTATCTTCTGCCTAAGAGTGGTCTGTCCTTCAGTTACCTCATCCCCCCATGTTTTTGGTTCTACCCCTTGTGGACCCTTAGCTCTCCTACAGTGCTCCTTTTTCTTGTCCTCTGATTCTCACTTCTACTACTACTACTAAAGTACTACCATTCCACTACTTTTGCTACTACTATTATTTTAGCCTCCCTTCACCCTTCACTCCACTTTCTATCTCTTGTCCCACTAAAACTACTCTCCCTACCTTCTAATACCAGCCTTACTACTGCCACTACCACTTTTCCTCCTCAATTGGTCCCATCCATGAACCTTAGTCCTGACCTTGTCTCCAGATGCCTTCCTTTCTCATTACATTGTCAAACGCTGCAAAATTCAGAACACTTGTGACTTGACCTGATCTTCATCTCCTCTCCTTTCCTTTCAACCTTTCCTATATTTGCATTGCCTAGTTGGATTCTATCCTATGGGGCTTTGTCCTGCTAGGATTTGGCCATACTCTCGTGGGTCATTAGCTCTCCTGCAGTGCTCCTTTTTTCTCTTGTTCTTATACTACCTCCAATATTACTTCTTCTACTACTACTATCTCTTCACCAAGTCTCCACACTCTGACCACTTTTTCACTACCACTACTACCTTCTTATTGCTACCTTTACCATTGTTGCACTACTTTTTCTACTACCACTACCAACACTAATTCTATTCCCTCCTCTCATTATACTACGCCCATCCCCACCCCCCTCTGGTATATATTCTGGCTCCCTTCCCTTTGCGCTTCAGTGTGACTAGTTAATGGTCCAGCAGGACGCCGGTGTATCATCAACCCCCCTCACCACCACCACCCAGAGAACAACAACAACAAACATGGCTGACTCCCCCTCCAACTCCACTCCCTTCAAAGGATTCACCCATGATAACTCAGGTATGATTATTCCTGACAATATCAGGGACTGCATTGTTGCTCTAGAAAACGAAATCAAAGATATTAAAGCAACACATGCGCGAAGAGAATCCAAGATAACCAACCTCGAGAACAAGATCCAAAACCTTGAAGAGAAGATTACCTTGGGAAGTGTTGACACAGAAAATAGTACTCTGAAAACAGCAATAGCCAGTCACACTGGCTATTGCTGAATGTTGAAGAAGCAATCAAGGACTGGAACCAGAACATGCACACTAGACTGAATGAATACCTTGATTTCCAAGACGACAAAACTGAACAAGATAAGTTGTCTGATGCAGTTATAATAAACAGTCCACACATTCCTAGTGACATAACCCAAGCACAGTGCAAAGAAACTGCTGTCAGGATAATACAGGACCATATACAAATTATTGTGCAAAACAATGAAATCAAAGAAACACGTTTGTTAGGAAAACAAGGCAGCAAACACAGTATCATGATCAGACTTCATTCATATGATAAAAGAAAGGACTTAATTAAATCAGCAATTACAATGAAAAATGGAGTGTACATCAACGAGTGTCTAACAAGAAAATGTCAAAACCTTCTGTTTAGGTTGAGAAAACTTAAACAGGAAAACAAAATACATCAGTGTTTCACTCGAGATGGGAAAATACTAATTAGAAAAACTTCAACAGGACAACAATATACTATCTCAAACGAACATGATTTCTCTACCTTCCTTAGAAAAGTGACATTTCTATAACAGATTAAAATAAGTGCCCTTAACACATATATACGTGTGGTGCATATAGTGTACGTTACTATTATATTATTGTGCATTATTATTATTATTTACTATTACATTATTATGCATTATTATTTTTTTCTTTTACTAGCTAATACCAGCTACCTCAAATACTTTTTTTTTTTTTAAAATTGCTTTTATTGCTCAAATTTTGTGTTACAAGTCAAATCTTACTCCAAATTAATGTTATTCATGGTTGCTACCTGTCCATTTAATTCAGCTTACCACTATTATTTTAATCCGCTCTATATTGTGTGAGCAATTAGTGTATATTCCAATTACATTATTGTGTGAGTCCCAAAACTATCTTTTGCTAGCTAGTACCAGCTACCTCATATTTCTCTACTTTTTATAGTGCAATTAATTGCTCAACTTATTATACATTACAAATCAGATCTTACTCCCAAATCAATATTATATCATAATGACTATCTGTC